AAGCACCGCGAGAGCGGGGAAGCGGCTCGCCCAGGACGTGCGAGCCAAAGGCTACTTGGAGTGCTCTGCCCTCAGCAACCGAGGGGTGCAGCAGGTGTTTGAGTACGCCGTGCGGACAGCAGTCAATCAAGCCAAAAGGCAGAACAGGAGGAAGCTCTTCTCCATTAACGAGTGCAAGATCTTTTGAGGACCGTCAGCAGAGGTTTTGCCCGCATTCGTTCTGTTTTCTTACAAAGATACCGCGGCAGAGAGGATGGGGGGTGACTCAAAGGAGGACTCCTGGCAGGACCACAGTGCAGGTGCCCCTAGTGAGACAGATGTGCGCTCTATCTGATCTGCTCCCCCCCAACACACATGGGCACTATCTTGAAAAATTAAAGGTGCAGGTACATGCCCTTATTTACGAACCTGTCTTTGGACTTTGTTAGCCTGGACTGGAGCGGGGCTAGCCTGGAGATCTGCAGAGAACAGCTGTGCTGATTTTGTTGTTGCTGATGTTCCTCAGTTGTTGGTTTGTCTACATTTATTTAATGACAAACTTCTGCTTGGATCAACCCCCACCTCTTGACATGTCTGTCCATGTGGAGGGTTTTGTTTTTACTTTAAGAACTTCATGTATAAAATCTGACCACTGTGTATTCTATTTAAAAGACCCTTGCATATGTTATTGTAAAATCCTGACAGTTTGTTTTCACATTTTGGAAGTTCTTCCTCTAGCTAACCACAGAAGCAAATCATCCTATCCATATGATAAATGGCCTGCAGGCAAGCCTAGCACTTCTTAGACATGCCCGAGTCACTGCATAACAGTGATCAAATCCAGTACGTCCAGCATAGGAGTGATCAAAACTTAGTGCCATTTGATAGCCATCCTGTGGCTTTGTGAGATTTGTTATCTTAGTCTTGTTCCTCAGCAATATGGTCAAAGACAGGACGAACCAGGAGGAAACTAACCTGATTCTTCCTAGCCCTCACCTAGTTACAGCCCCAGAAGGGCTGGCTTGCAGTCAGGACTGGTTTAGACATACGGTTGGGGTGACAGAGACGAGTCTGTGCTATCATCACCTCTGTTGTCCCTGCCGTAATTCTGGAGGCAAAAGATTTCAGTCTCCAGGGATGAAAGGTAATTTTCATGAGCACTAAAATTCTCAAAGTATTTTTAGTACACTTCTTTTCTAAACAGTGTTTTTTGTGAAACCAGTCACCTACTATAGTAGAAAATTAAGTGCAAGGCCTTGTTGAATGTGCATGTTTAGAATTGCTAAATAACATTTTTTTTTTTTTTTGAATTCGCATACTAAGTATAACTGCCTGGGTTGTATCAAAAAAAGACTGAAACAGGCTTTGCATCCTGGGGAGCCTGGCAAGTCTAAGAGTCAAATCCTGACGTACCTACTCAGGCCAAATTACCCTCCTGTACAGAAAGCCAGGCTAAGGAGGTGGAAACTTCAGGTGTGTAAGAGAACTCTGTTGGAAGATGGAGTGGGGTCAACACGCACTGCTGTGCGGTCCTCCTGTGTTGCGGTGTTCCTCTCCTTGTCACGTTACCTGTCCCCCCTGCCCCGCACCATCTCAGAACTTGCAGATCTGTCTTATCCCAAGGTTTCTGCTGCCCATAGAGGGATGGGGGATTTCTTAGTGCAGCAAGATTTTTATTCTTCTTTTCCCTGTCCTTTAGCTAGCTCAGAACTGAACTTTGAGGGGCGTATAGCACGGTGCACATAGCACAGTAGGGTGATTCTCTGCATGGATACCAAGAGAATGACCGAGCCCCAGCTCATGTGTTCCAACAGGAATGGATGCAGTGTCTTGTCTGATTCAAATCCAAGGTGGGACTTCAGGAATTACCCTACTAAGCAAATAAGATATAGCTCAGATCTTATCTATCTATAGTTTGTTCCTGAAAAACTGGTTGGGTACTCTTCTCCATACTCTGTTCTACCTCTGAGCTTTTCTATAAAGAGAAATTCCAACTTAAGTCATTCCCCTCCTATGAATCCCAGAGACGATCTCACTTGTGATGTAGCTGAGGAAGTATTTGCACTGTGAGCACCTTGAATAACAGCGGTGCACGGGACGCAGGCTGGTGAGTATTTACCGCTCATCAACCTGATTGTAAGGGAAGCTTCTGGTCATAAAACCAGACTGGCCGCATGTGAGGTTTTCATATCAGCTTTAAATCTTTACAAGATTCTGCACCTGAGCACACAAGACAAGGGCTCCCATCACCGCCCATCTTTTCTGTACTCTGCTCTTTCCCACTTCTCTTTCTCTTCAGGTGCTGATTGCAAATCCTTTGCCCCCTGAAACACTAAAACTGACATGTTTGTAAAAAAACCTGAACGGCAGAGTTACACAAGCGGCTAGGTATTTGCAGTCCTCGGTTAGAAACCTTTTGGCTTTTGGAAGAAATACGTTTCTACATCTCAACTCTTGCAATGCCTCTTCACTGAAAGTTTTACTTTTTGTAACCCTAATTTAAAACTAGTAATTGTTACTGTTTGAACATTAAAGATCACATACAAAATGTCACGTTGTGAATCTTAAATCTGTTACAACTGTGGATATTTTTGTTTTGGTCCCCACTCCACTAACGGATTCAATACCTAGTTTTGACTTCTTTTGAGACATGTTTTTGCCAGTGTGTTCTATTAAGTGGTCTTTTTTCTCTGTGGGTTAAGCCTTGTTTACAACAGTTCACGCTGCTGTTTTTATGTGTTGAAGAACAGCAACTGCTAGGCCAGGATGCTGTGTTGTGGTATCTGCCGCGGGATGCCGGTAGTCAGGGACCTGAAGGCTCCAGAGAGTTGTTGTATCAGACAAAGCCAGATGAAGATGCACTCCAGAATCACACCATAGCCGCAAATCCCATCTCATCCTTATTTGCTTCACCAGGCTTGCTATGGTGTATTACAAAATGAAGAATTCAAGGTTTGCTTGCAATTCAGTGAGGCAAAGTGGATAGGCTTCCCTGAGAGGCCTGAGCTGACGATATGGGAGGCACCGGGAATTTTGAGGTGGCTCGACATACTCTTGATTGTGCATCCTAGAACCAGTGCAAAGTGTGGGGCCACCAAAAGCTGGCTGATTTTTAAAATCAAATTGGAGGTTGGGAGGGGGGGATTTTGGTTTGGTGCTATGTGAGAAAAAAGGTTCCAATTTTCACAGCCTGGTTATTTTCAGACTCTCAAAGCTAAAAGGCACTTTTCCCTGGGAACAAACCGTGAAACACAATATTTTAGTGGCTGTAATTACGCATCTTTCCCTGAGCTATAGAACTGATGTGCTCAAAAAGCCTGGCATCTGAAATGCTGAGAGCGAAAACGGGCCAGAGCAGAAGTCGGCAGAAGATTCAGCCGAATGGCTCACCAGGGTGGGGCTTGCACAACTGCAGCCGTGGTGCCCGTGGGGTGAGCACCCAGGGGCTGCCGAGGCCTCCCGTGAAACCCCACCAGGGTGGTTTTGCTAGCGTTACTTGGGCAACAGGGTCCCTGGGTACGGCTCGGTGGGAAAAACCTGGCTCTAATATTCAAAATACATTCAAACGACGGCTGGGCACACATGTTCGCTTTCAACTTCTTTCGCTCCGAAAAACAGCAGGCTGGGGGAGACCGAAACAGTGTGTGGCCTCGCCTCAGTTGGGTCAAACTGTTCAGCTAAGGGAAGAGACCATGCCCAAATGTCCCCTTTCTGTCTTCTCAAGCCGATCCCCTTCAGTTTGCTACTCCATTGCTAATTTTACTTTCGCTTGCTATTAAAATAGGTTAAAAGTTGAAAAAAAATAAAAAGAGAAAATACCTGGAACTTAAAACGAGAACAGCAATAGCACTGTTATTTTTGTCTGTGTCTGACTTCTCATTTTGACAGAAAAAGTAATTTTGTGTCACTAACTTTTTGCTGAACTTCTGCAAGTCGGATAAAAAGTTGAATAGGTATGCAATTGTGTTTTAACTCAGAAACTGTTCTTTTAGCAGAAAAAAAAGAAGCATTCTCGTTTAGTAATTTGCAAAATGTGGTGAGCACATCTTACATTATTTTAAATACAGATTTCCCAGCCTTTTAATACTTACTTGGTCTGTAGCATACAATATAAAAGGGAAAATTAGTCAAGCTTGTTAGATATAATTGATACTGTTTTGCCTGATATTTGCAATTAGCAGTTTCTGAATATTTTTATGTCATTCTTGTGGGTACTCTGCAATTGCTAAGGTGTCTGAACACATACTAGCTAATGCCTCTATTGATAAAGAAAATGCACGTAGAGCAGTCTTTTTATGCATGGCACCACAATGAGATAAATCACCACAGGGTTCAGACACGAAGAAAAAAGAAACGTTGGCACTCTGACATCTCAGCCTTTCCTGTATTACTATTGCATTCGAGTGAATACAGCCATTAAAATAATTCCAAATAAATGGGACAATTCATGTCTCTTAGCACTCTCTCCTAATGCCTCTGCTACGTAGGGCTCAGGTTAATATACAAAGATTAAAAAGCTTCATTTCAGAACATGATAACGGCTTGTCCGTCCTTGCCTTTGTGAGCAAGTTAACTACCTTGACTTAATTAAAAGTCAGTTCAGCCTCTGAAAAAAGCCAGATATGAGCATAATAAATGGGACAATTCATGTCTCTTAGCACTCTCTCCTAATGCCTCTGCTACGTAGGGCTCAGGTTAATATACAAAGATTAAAAAGCTTCATTTCAGAACATGATAACGGCTTGTCCGTCCTTGCCTTTGTGAGCAAGTTAACTACCTTGACTTAATTAAAAGTCAGTTCAGCCTTTGAAAAAAGCCAGATATGAGCACAGTCAGGTTAGCCAAACTCCCTTGTTAGAAACGACAGTAACGAACTTTTTTGTCTCTGGATGTGCAGAAACATATTTCATGTCTCAGAGATTTCCTTCACAGCTGTAAGAACAAAAAATCCTGACCAGCTATCACTGTGTACCTGTCCTAGTTCCCCTGCGTGCCCTTCACGGCGTGCTCTGAGCGGCCAGCTGTTGAAAACAAGCATTCAGGGAGAAAACAGCCTTTGTGCATACCTGGGTGTTTATATTGCCGTAACTGCTTGACTAGAGTTACGGTGGTCTTTCCCCTGCCCTGGACCTCTCCCTCCATCGCGGCGTGACCATGCGGCAGCCATAGGCCAGCGTGGTCCGTCTTGCTTGGGAGGCAGGAGGACTCCATCGCCAGCAGGCAGTCCTGCCCAGGCAGCCCGAGGGAGACGGGTTTTAAGCAGGACAGAAGCGATGCCTCTCAGGGCTTCCCCCTTACCAGGCATCACAGGCAATTGCCCGACTCTGCAAACACAGCCGGCCCTTGAAGTGACAGATTTATTTTGTGTGCCATTTCTAAAATCAGTGTCTCTGTAAGTCCTTACCCAGGCCTGGTTTCTGCAGGCGCTGTCATACTCATAGCATGGGCCGGCGGGTGGATCTCAATTTTGTTGGGCTCCAGCCACTGAGTTTTGGGGCGGTGGGGGTTGGATCTCAAAAGCACTGATCCTTGCCCTGTGGCACATCCCTTCCTGAGCGTGGGGAGCTGGCCTCCAGCCTCGCGTGTGCCATGAATTAGTTATCAGCAAGCAAAATAATCACTATTGCTGCCTTTTCTGGTTATGAAGAAGTGAATGAGCAACGTGCCTGTCTCAGGTCTTTCACAACCGCCCTGCGTGGGGCTGGCAGCGGGGATTTCTGTCATTACTCCTCTCACCTTGGGCAGCCATCGGTATGATTCATGCAGGGGCGGAGTAGAAGGGCACAGGCCTGTGTGTGGCGGTGGTTGCTTCTGTCTCTGGAAAAGAGGAAGGAAACGACGACCGATGCCTCCGCACGGCGTGAGGTGCTCGCTTGCCTGCATCTGCAGCGTTTCCAAGAAGCCTCCGGTGAGCGCCGGCTCCCACGGGTGCCCCAGCAGCTCCTGGCCGTGCCTCGGAGGACCCAAGGTGACCCGGGGCGACTCTCGTGCCGAGACCCGGGTGTCTCTCTCCCACCCCCTGGGCTGCCTTCCCAAAATGCTCCATTGCTGTTCAGGTACCACAAAAGAGAGATTTTTGAAAGAGCAGGCTTTGCTTTGAAAATCAAGGTCCCTTGCAAATGCTGACTGCCCCGGAGGTGGTTGGGTCTGTCTGCTAGCCACAGTGGCCACAGTGGCCAAAGGTGGGTGGCCAGCCCCTGGATGTGAGGGGCGAGGTCCAAGACTGATACTTCTCAACTTGGTAGATTAATTAATTACATAGAAGCAATGGGAGTGAGACTTTTGTGTCTTATATGCCAAACCTCTCGTAACACATAAGCAACTGCTGAATATTTCTCTTTCTCAGAAAACTCCAGGCTTTTAATAGATAAAATGCCCAGTGACTTTCTGGCTGTTACCTTGACTAAATGCTTGCATTTATCTGCCACTGTGACGCCAGCTCTGCAGCTCAAAAGCCAGTGTCAGCACCATCCTGCTGTGAATGGCATGGTGCTAAACACAGCACCCACCCGAGTAAGCATCAAAGGTCATGGGATTTTGTGAGAGACTGGTTTAGGATTTCTAATGGGTCGTGGGCATTAAAATATACAAATTTATTTTAAATTATTACGTAATATGTGGAATTTGTGCTGGTATCTGATCCACCGTAGAATTATCGACAACTAAACCAGAGTTACAGCCCTGGCTCATGATTAGGGCATTGGCTTAGACAGTGAACGTTGTTGTTTAATCCCTCTCCCACCACGCAGAGCTTGGCCAAAGCCAGGTCAGGTCAATTGGGAGCTCTTAAACTTAACCAGGCTCCAGACCAGGCCTGTGTAAGCCTGCACAATAACTTTTGGATACACAACTCCAAACTGGCTGCTGGTGTAACCAACCTGCTGAGAATCAGCTTGACCCAAATGGATTCACCTTGCCTGAGCCTGCTCTCCGTGGCTGGCTGGTGAACGGCAGGAGGATGAACTGCAGACGTGAAACGCTGCTTCACAGACACCCCGGCTGTCCCCGGCCCCGCTGCCGCAGCTGGGTGACACCGGGTGAGCCACAGCTCCGCCTGCCCCCCACGTGAAATGGGGAGATGGCAGTGACCTTTTTTTAAAGTACTTTTGGATAGGTCAGGAAAGATCTTGGTGCTGGTGGGTAACTAACTTTTGAGTTTGCCAAGTCCTAGCTCCCCTTCCAAGAAGTGTTTCTGCTGACAGGTTTGACCTGCAGAATTTGGTCTGAATGTATTTGTAACACAACTTCATGTGATTAGGGCTTTCCAGGGTTTCAATTCACTGAAGGCATAGGCAGTAGGTAAGCATAAGGGACAGAAAGAGAAGGGACAGTATATAACGATGCATTAATTACTATTTTAATGGATCGTAATCACGACTATCAACATAATGCCCTTTGTAATTGTACAAAACGTGGGTATGGGCTGAGCTAACATCTGATTCATCAGTGACATGTTCAAAAATCAAATTCTCCCTGAGGGAGT